TTATTAAATTTTTTCTTAGCAACATTCGGTGAGCTATTAATTTTCAAAATTTTATTTAGAAACATTTCAATTAAATCAATTTCAATAAAATTAATATCAGTTTAGTTTTTTGTAAATATAGAATACGTAATAAAATGAAAATCTTACAGTGGGTGCAAATTGACCTGCAGGAATCCACGTTGGTTTAAAACTACTAATGATCTCGTTCCTCTTCTTTTTGTCTTTTTCACGTTGTTTAAAAGCCAATTCATTTTGTTGCCTCTTCTTAAAGATTTCATCTTCTGCGTCTCCAAGCTCTGACATTATCAATTGTACACGATCTAAATTAACGTCACCGCTATCTGTCAAAAAACCCTGAAAATAATTTAAAAAATTAAATTACTTTCTATAAACAAATATTTGCTTTAGCAATAATATTAATATCCAATAGACATTTTCATAAATTTATAGAATTTAAAGGTAAATCAAATTGATAATTATAAATGTATATATAAATGTATATATACAAATAGAGAGAGATACAAGATCTAAATCTTTTTAAGTAAGTCAGAAATAATTAACAAAGAAATTTAGTATAAAAAATTAATATATATAGTATAAAAATGAAATATGTACAAAATATACCTCAATTCTTTAAACAATATTTAACAATTATATTATTTGTGTAATTATTATATTGTAATATAAAGTATATTACAAAAAGGTATATTTTTTAAATCAGAATTAATAAGGATATAATTTTCTAATTATTAATTTTTTATCATCTTGCTTTGTAAAAAATGTTACATACTCCGGTTTTATATACTGCTCTTTTATATAAAGCAACAAGTCTGTCAATTGCGCCTTCTCTAATCTCCAGAGAAGGGAGATGAGGCAAAAAATCGTTTCCTACGAAGAAACACATAAACACCCAATCATCAACAGCTCGTTCAAAATCATATTTGAATGGTAGATTTGGCATATGCAATTCTCTTTCTAAATATTCTCTGAGGACATTCAATCGCACGAATATGAACTGGCATTCAGATCCATATGTATTCTCCTCTGGCTTTTGGTTTGGTTCCGCGCCTGTACACTCACGCATTTCATGCCCTAACTGACCACATATATCGCATGGTTTTGGTTTATTCGGTTTAAATTCTTCACGAATAATAGTAAAATTGGGTTCGTGTGTAGCAAGACCTAACATAATTAAATCGGCATCGGCTCCGCATAAAACATGTTGTGTATTAGGATCGTGATCGGGTTGCGCTATAACACATTAAAAACAACAAAAATTATTATTTCTAATGAATTCTATAACCTATACATAAAATAATACTGTATATAAATATTTACCTCTTTGTCGTCGTATAAAATCCATTATTTTATGTTCTCCTTCGCCGGGAACATTAGCATCGCTTAATATTACTTTAATATTCCTCCAGCCTGGATCATTATTCAAGCGATCATGAATGTAGTAATGTAAACATGATGATAATCTTGCCATAAATGGCGTGCCCTGAAATATGAAGCTTCCGATATATACGTAACTTTATAGTGACTGATATATTTTTCAAAATTAATAACAATTAATTGCAAAAAATTCCATTTTATTTATTAAAAAGTATAAATATGTTTCAGATCTTAAATATTTTATTTCGTTAAATGATAATAATAACAATATAAACAAAATTGATTTTTATACATATTTTATATTCTATTCGTTATTATAAATTCAATTACAATATTATAATTTATGGTTACAAACCGGAGTAATACAATTACTGTCGAAATGCTCTTCCTTCGATTTTTCGGGAGGCAAGGATGCTCCTTTGAGGGTTAATTCGGAGCGTATCCTCTCTATTTCATTAATCTTTTCTGTTGATTCTTTTGCTGCACGAAATCGCCGAGATCTTTGTTGATTCATTTTTGCTCTGGGTGCCTGCATAACAACTCATTAGACATTATAATCTCATTAGTTTTCCTCTCCTTATATTTTATATGCAAAAATACTTACAACTCCATCAATTGCCATGTAAAGTAATTTCCTTGGTCTAACAATGCGAAACAATCTGTCAATACACTCGAAAATAGCCTCCATCATCTCATCTTCATCCTTGGGAGCTGGCCTTATATTTACATAGTACAAGATCACATAAACAATTTATCATAGACAATAAACTATTTGTAACATCTTATTTGTACTTACTTATCCTCAGGATGCGTACAAGGATGTATTATACCATTCATATCAAGATACAAATTATCAAATTCTACCCCATTTGGATTCGGTTCTGCTGAATTCACAGGAATGCATACCCCATCTGCAGATACTGACTATAAATATAAAATATCAAAATTTTACTCTTATATATCATTGGATTTAGAATATTATTGAAATAATTTGGCAGTGAAATTAATTCATTTTAAACATGAAATCATATGATTATTAATTAAAAAATATTTTACTTAAGATAATATTATCATCTTATATGTATGTATTTTGTGTTAAGTAAACATTTGTGAGAACATTTAGTATTTTAATGAAGTAATATTTTAACTAAACACTTTATATTTTAATTAAATATTGTGGCCCACATTCAGAATGCTTTTATCTCTGAAATTCTATAATATGCTTAACATATAGTATATTAGTGCACTAACATTGTTGTAAAAGCATTCTGAATATAGGCTTGTATATTGATCATATTGAAAACATTTGAATACGGATCAAAGAATCTATTGAGCTTTTATTTATTCTAAATTATTAGAAATAAAAAAAAATTAAATAATGTAATTCTAAAAACAAAGCACATGTTATACAAATTATCTTTTAATTTTTTAAAATCTTTTTTAACAAAACAGTTCAAAATTTTTATAATCATTTGTTCTAAGAGTGCATTCCGTTTCACACATGAAATAATGCATCATTTATTTATCCTTATTGTTCACCGAATATTAAACAAGGATAAATGAAGCATCGTCCATATTATGCATGAAACAGAATGCACCCTAATATTACATTAATTTGAGATTTTTAATATTTAAAATACGAAAATAATTTAAATATACACAAACTTACTAAATATTAACTTTAATTTCCTAGATATTAAATTTGACAAATAAAAGCAAATAAAGGATTATAATAACCATCCTAGAAAGTTTCAGAAATTTATTATGAGCTTAACTAAAATATAATAATGCACGTAATTAAAAAATTTGTGCAATCCATAAGTGCAAGGATTATATCTCAGGAAACGAGATGTAAACGTGAATAAAATGTAAATACAAATGACAAACATGTAAAACAGAGGAAAACTTATCAACAATCTAACCTACCTTTTGTTCGATGCACTCCACAATTACGGAGGGATATTTGCGGCTTAGCCAACGAAAAAATGCTGGGACACCCATTGCTCGTTCGTAGCTTGCTTGATAGTATTATAAAAACTTATAATTACCGTTACAGCACTACTATGTCATATTAAATCAACAGCATCAACCAACATCAATGCTTACGTTTAACTTTAATATGAAATAGGCGAATAGGTTAGAGTTGTTTCGCTTGGTTAATCATGAATTAATATTATATATGATATGAAACACGAGATATGATTTCATGCCACTCGGCTTTTGGTGCCACTCATGGAAATTTAGTGTAACACTAGTGCACTCTGAGTACAATTGAATACAAATCAATTCACATATTTTCAGTATTGATAAATAATTTAATTATTTTTAATTACATATCTTTGTTGTCACAACTTTATAATTTCAAAAGAATTAATTAATTTATTAATATTAAAAATGATATTGTGTGTGTGTGTGTGTGTGCGTGTGTATGTGCACTCAATTGCACCAGTTTTTCTTAATAGAGAAAGCTATGATACATTTTCAAATTTTTTTATAATTTTATTGGCCCAGTTTTCACCGAGGATTTAATCCGGATCAGAATGTAAGAACCAACCAATTACAGTCGAGTATTCACCTGTTACAATCGAACGACAGAGGAATGTTCGACTGTAATTGGTTGGTTCTTACATTCTAATTCGGTTTAAACCTTCGATAGAAACTAGACTATTGATGCATTTAGTAAAGAAAATTGGTGAAAACTGATAAGGATGAAATTTATAGATGTTGCTCAAGAGATATGAGTTTAAAATGTAGAGTATAAATCGCTCATTTCTTGTTGATAGTTTTAAAATCATAATTTGAAGGTCTTATTATATTCTTATACATTATTCAAATGTATGTAAATGTGTGGGAAAGTACTTTTTGTTTAGATATATTGGGTCATCTAAAAAGTATCCGCTGTTTTTTGTCACTAGATGTGTGTTGATGGTCATATATCTAGTGACAAAGTACCGCGGATACTTTTTAGATGACCCAATATACTTCAATTCATTATATATGTATATATGTGTTATATATGTATATATGTGAAAAAATAATAACCTACGTGATAACAGGAATTGTTTACAATTTTTTTTTATATAAATTTGTAGTTTCCTATAATTATTTGTGTTGATTTTTTTATTCTAGAAAAAAACATTTTATTTTATATAAGGAAAACGAAATGAATGGAAAAATTCGAAATGCATGTTCCGTCGGTAACTTCAGTATTTAAGATGTCATAAACCAATCAGAAATCAATATTCATAATTTGTTCTTATTTCAAGACCGTCTTAAATAATAGGTTTGTTCGCGTTACTTGAAATTCGCAATTTATTTTAAACGTTGAAAAAAAAAAGAAAGCGAAGATGCTGAGTGCAAAGAGTGCAAGCAACGCGAAAGTATTTAATAATAATAAAGTATAAATAAATAATAATAAAATATATGTAAATAATAATAAAATTTCTTTATATTTAATCTAAAATATATAACGAATTAATAAATTATCCAATAAATTGTCCTCTTGAGAAACTTCAAAATCGATGCGCTTTCATCATTCGCAAAAGTCGCAATAAATCGTATCTAAATATTCATATACCATGGTTCAAATATACTTGCGTTCTAAAATATATCAAAATATATGTCCTCCCATCTTCGAGTGCAACAGGTATGTTGTGCGATTAAATATTAAATTGATAGATAAATCGAATACTAATGTAAGTAAATAATAAAAATAGATTAAAATTATTTTTTCTCGTCGCTAATTTATGAATCTTGCTATTATTTGCGATATTATTGAACAAGTCCTCTCAAAAACAATATTTTTGAAGGTTAGGAAATCTGTCGTACCGACTGAATAAACGCGCGAATGTAATTATAACGTTGATTGAAAACGTTGATTTTTATATTATGTTAATAATATATTAAAATTTTTCACGTAATAGTATTAAAATTTTTCAAGTTAGAGAATTCTTTTGTTTTACTAACAAATAAATTTATAATCTATTAAAATAAAATAATCTTGCCTGAGTTGATCCATTTTTTACATTAAGGAAATTATATTATATATACGGATACAAACTTATTCCTTTGCTAATTTTATCTCACAATTTCATTAGATTTCTTGCTGTTTTAATTAAATGAAAATCTTCTATTAAAATTTGTAATAATGCTATAAAAATTTGAATATTGTAAAAATCTTTATATTTATATTTATATCAACAACTGTCTTATTTTTATGTTTATTTTAAGTAGCTCAATTTTATGAATTAAATTACCAGAGAATAATAGAATTTCTTTCACAATTAGTTATATCAAACAAGATATTATCACAGAACAATTTTATATATAAAGACTTTTTCTTAAAACTTTAAGATTAGTTGATACTATTTTTATTTTTTTTAGATTGTTTAACTTTTGTTGTTTACCTACTTATCTTAATTTCAATTAGAATGCCAGTAGACCAGATTCAGTATTCTGAAAAGTACAATGATGATAGATATGAATACAGGTAAGAATTTGGACTATGAATCATATCTTTAAAAATACTTAAACAATAAAAAATTCAAAATTGAAACATAAGACGTCTTGAAAATGTCTTTTAGGTATCTTTAAGACATCATTTCATTTTTAAACATGCATGTTGTCTGAGTAATGAGTTATAAAAATTAGTTTTTACTATTATTTAAATATTGTCAACTTTTATTACAATTATATTTTTCTTTTTATAATTTAAGTCACATTATATTATTTGTGTAAAATATATCTTATGATAATCATTGGCAAATTTAATTTTGAAATTATACCGATTTTTTATAAAATTGGATATGAATACAGAAATTTAAATAGAAGAAATTCTCTTTTCCGAGATTTTCAATTAAAAAGAAGATTTTCTTATATATAAAAATATGTAAAAGACTTTAAACTATTTTATAAGTTTTTATGAATATAATCTAATACGTTGAACTCAAGTTAATGTCAGTATAAATAAAGTCATATAATTTCAATTAAAAATTATGTATAGGCATGTAATACTGCCAGTTGATATAGCCAGACATGTTCCAAAGACTCATCTCATGACAGAAACCGAATGGAGAAATTTAGGAGTTCAACAGAGTCCTGGATGGGTTCATTATATGATGCATGGACCAGGTACGATTTGATAAATGAAAATTATTTAGGGAAATGTGTATACATCATGAATTATAATCAGCATCATTTATTAATACAATCTAAATTTTTTTTTCAGAACCACATGTTTTATTATTTCGCAGAATGAGACCTGATCTTGTGACAGCACCTAGATGTACCACTTTACAAGGAGAACCTATTACTTGTTATAATTGAATCTGATGTGATAATCTAATGTGAGATGATATGAATGAAAATGAGATATCCGTTGATATAAGATTGTATTCTACCATATTTATAAGTATTTATTAATAGTTAAAAATTATAAGCATCAGAATATATTATATTTTATCGTCCCCATCTACATCTTTCACACAATATAAAATATAAAAGAATATCTTACAATTATCTATCAAGTATTGTTGACTTCTCTAAATGAATCTTTTTTTAAAAAACATGTAATTATTTGCGTAATAATTTTGTGTAGAAAATTTGCAACATCTTTTCTTCAATAAATTTTAGAAAACAGACAAGTTATGAAAGTTTTTCGCGATATTTCCAAATTTATATCCAAGTGTTGCAAATTCCATATATGTCACATAACACAAGAGAACTTTGTCAAAAGAAAAAAAGCTAATTGAAGATAAAAGAAAAAGAGAAATATTGAATAAGAAGCAAATTCGATTAGCTATAAATTTATTGATGAGCTTATTGCTGAAAGATTGCGTGATGGATCTGGGGTACTCTGCATTTAAAATGTTAATCATTTCAAGCGTGTATTTTCTTTCTTCGGAACTTCGCGTGTCCGCGCGCAGCACGCGATGAATAATTATAAAATCTGTTTATCTATTAGCTAAACTTTTCGTACTTTGAAAAGTACATATATCTATATTGGAACATTTCCTTCTAACAAGAAGTCACGCGTTGCTGCCTGTTTATAATAATTTTTATATATTGTAACAATTTTGTATAAATTTTTATATTAGAATTCGAAATGTTATAATGTAATATAACTTGCTTATAAAATTGAATTTACTTTCTATAATTTGCAGAGCAAAAGGCAGAAGATTATCTTAACGAATTGATATTAAAACTAAAATTTATTCATAAATACTTTTATTATAATTAAAATTTTAATAATTGCAACCAACTAATTTGATAAAATTTTTATGATTTGGAAAACGAAATTTTATATTAAAAAGTTTTGTGCCTTTTTCTCTAGCATACAGTTTATGCATTATTACAAATAAATTATATACAAGATGAATCTAAAGAGCTATTACAAAATTTATTTAGGTATATGATTGTCCAAGATTTATTTTCACAGAATTGTGATAGAACGATAATCGGTTAATAATATATGTAGATCGCGTGCGTTTCTTCGGCTAAATGACATAAATAATCGAGCAAGGACGATAACAATGGATTGATAGGAAACATTCACGAAAGCATGCGAGCCATTTAATGGCTTTTCCGTTAGTAATCAGAGATGCAGCGTGTAGTAGTGAGTAAAGAATAAGAATTGTCATGTAGTTATTCTTCCTTATTATCCCTTTCTCTGACTTTCTTATCGATTATTTCTTAATATTGCGGGTAGGGAGACAGCGCAAAAAGTATGGATGGAAAAGTTTTGTTGTAAGTTAAGAATTTAAGACGATAGAAGCAACCATACCCGATTGGAACGATGGCTCTTGTACATTGTGTAGCGATTCACCGATGTTTGAAATCTGATCTGTGTTAAATTAATTAAAAACGAAAAGAAATTGAATAATTATTATTAATCGAATATTTTTTCGTAATTCTCAACTATGTATAAGTGACATCACAGTGAGTATATTTTTTTGCATTTATTATCTGTGTATTTCTTGATGTTAATTAAAATTGAAAAGTTCTACTTTTGTTCGTATATTTTTTTTAGAGTTTTGTAAATTTTTAATTAAATTAAAAATTTTCGAGTTTGTGAGTTTTGATATTAATATTTATTTTGATAATAATATTAATTTTATTTTTTATTTGTTTATAATAAAAACAATTTTGCTATTAATGTTAATTTAATATCGATTGCTTTGTATTTTGATTTAAAAATTTTTAAAAAGCGATTTTATTGTTTTGAACAATGTTCCTTAAATTCTACATTAATATTGATTGAGTGATTTCTAAACCTAAAAAGACGATATGGTTCATCATCCAAAAGGACAGCCAGTAGTACGGCGAGAATCTCTTGTACGAAACACAGTTTTAGTAAATGAAGCAACCATTCATATGAAAAATGGAAGTTACGATAAGGCCATATTTTTGTACAATCAAGTAAGTTTTAAATTTATTATTTAATATATTTTTAAACAGAATGTTTAATATATTTATTGTATTTTGGGGGATATGAAAACAAAGTATTCAAATAGAAATATAGAAATCTTGACGAATTTTAATAATCCCCCTGATGTATCAAGATCGAAGAACAAAGCTGTCGAAACAAGAATTTTGAGGGCACATTATATAACGAAAAACATAGATAAATGTTATCAACTTTTTTATATTATAATCTAATACGTTAGTTGAATACGTTGTTCTGTGATAATTAGCGCAATGAAGCGGAAAGAAATGCATAAATTATTATATTTGAGTTTAGAAGATATCAATATGAAGTGTACAACTTACGAGATAATTTCTTCAAAACAAATGGACCAGCAATATCCATGACGTAAGAATACCATTAGATGTACATTCCCATTGTGGATTGAAGTGCAATTGTATTCAATTATCATTATAAAAATGTTACACTTGGTATTCTTGCATCATGACAATATCAGGGCTTACTTAGCATATAGTTACGTATTATAAAATTTTAGAAATAAGAGCGTGTATTTATTGATAAAAGTGCGTTCTGAATATGGATTAGAATTTTTCATAAATTACTCCAGCAATATTACTGCAACGTTACAAGATTACTGTAATATTATTGGAACGTTGCAATATATTACTGTAATATTATTGGAACTTTTCAATTGTTATAATCTTAAATAGCACACAATATTTATAAAATATTTACAAAATATTTGTAAATATTTATAAGACTTATTTTAAATATTTTGTAAATATCTTTTTTTTGGTCTTAGATATATATATATATTGCACAAATTAATATTTATTATAATAATATTATAAAATATTTATTGCAAAAAAAATGTTATAGTAAATGATATGAAAATACTTAATAAGACATTATAATAAGACATTATAATCGAAGTAAAAAATATTATATTTATCATAAATATTGCATAAAATATTTAGTCTGTATTTTAATAAAATATTTAATAAAGCTTTATATAAAATGTGTATAAAATATTTATATAACATTAAAAAAAATATATAGTAATAGATTTTATCATAAATATTCTGGGATATTACTGGAATAATTTGTGCTGTAATGGGATCTATCTTAAGAATCCAAATCTTTATGAATTTTTTAGACGTATTTGCAAAAGACTTTGCAGTCAGGTGGATTGAAAAATTAAAAGGTACATTTGCTAAAAAAATATAAAAAAAAAGATTTTATAATCACGATCTCTTCTTTGCTTTAAGAGGTAGTATTATAATTCACTGCCAATGTTGAAAATCGAATGTCACGTAAACAACATAAATTATAAATTTTTAGGCTGGCAATGAATTTGGAACACAGCCAAATAAATAAACGAAAAAATACGTTATCAAACTTTGGCAATCTCAAGAATATTCTATATATCATTCAAATATACAGAGTGTGTTCTTGTTCTTTTTTTATATTTCTGAATCTCACAAGGGGTAGAATTAGCATATTTGACTTATGCTAGTGTTGTTATTCGTTTCTAAGGAAACGAGTCACCTATTTTAAGGTGTCGGCAACCACACGTATCTTGGCACGTAGGCGAGGATCATCTGTTCGCGTTTCCTAGCTGAGGATTCCTCGATTTCTGCTGTTATGTGCAAAGCAAAAATATATGAAAGAGGAACTGAGAGTTTTATAAAGTAAATCATTGTAAATTCCTATTGTACAATATTGTAATATAATTATCAGATAAAATATTGTTAAAATCGACAAGTGAAGATGGGCGATGTACCGCAAATCGTCGCTGAAAACGCAATGTCTACGAGCGCGATGGAGCATCACGTTATGGACATCCTAAACCCTGGCTTGCATCACCATGACCTGCTGCAAAGCTACGTGCGTGTGGAAGTCTGTTCCGATTCGAAGCAGGACCCTGAAGAGTTCGAAGAACCGTGTAAAGAAGTTCATTCGAGTAAACATCTAACAGCATTGAGAGGTGACAAGGCTCGTTACGCTCATGATAAAGGGAAGAAGGGTAATGACAGGAAGGAAAAGCAGGGTCCTGACACCGCTATCGAGTCGGAGATGAGAATACAGAAGTCGAAGAGAAAGTGACGCCAGCGTGACGGCGAAGGTCGTCGACAGGAAGAGGTGTACACCGATAAGGATCGCGCAGCTGCTGTGAACATGGGTACCACGGACATAAAGCAGTCTTTGAAGATAAAGCAACGCCAGGATCGCAGCAAGAGTTTGCAAATCCCGGAAGAGACCGAGCCCGGAGCGTTGCTGACGCTTGGTCTACGCGAGATGCGCTTTGGCGACGTTAATGTCGCTGTTAATTGCATTAATAAGGTTTCTATTCGCTTGCCTCGTTACATGATATGATTTCTTGTTAATTCTTGGCGGGCACAATCGATGAGAGTGATTTATGTCTTCCGTGCATGGTCGTGCATGCGCGCATGAATAAACGTGACCCTCCGTAATAAGCGAATAAATCGATCGTAACGATTTATATTATATAAGATTGAAACGGACGTAATAGTTGCGGGGATTGTTATCATTATCGATTTCGAAAGAAATATTGTCTAAGTTTTTTAAAAAATTGCATAATTTATATTCTATATAATATACATAATTGATTTGTTAATTTAAAAAATTGGCATCTATATAATTTGATATAATGGTGAAAATTCTTCTCAGAATTTTTACATAAATTGAAACACGTTTCATAAATACTAAAAAAGTTTATCTTTTCTTAGAATTTTTCATGTAAATGAATTCTGAAATATTCTACGATTTTTTATTTTAGAATTTCTGAAAAAATATTTTTTATTATTTTATAAGATTTTATAAGAAATCATGGAATGAAAAAATTTTAATATTTCACAATACATGTACATATATAAAGAACTCTCGAGAAGGTATATAGACTTTTTCAGGTATACCTCTAAAAAGTGTTCCATTTGTATAAAAAAAAATTTAAGAAATTTATAAGTAAAATAATATTACAAATATGTTCATATAATTTGTATTTAATACTAGAAAATATTTATATGACGTATTAAAGTAGATTTTTATATTTATATTTAAATTACATAAATTTGTTACATTTCAAAGAGATTAAAAATAATATAAGATGAAAAAAATATTTAGAATTATTGATGTATATTTAAAAATATATATAAAAAAGAATTTACAATGTTTATAATTACTATAAATATAATAACTCTATAATATATCTATGTGTTTTAACAATATTAAAACTTTAATCATTTCAATAAAGACATTATATAAGAAATTTATTCTGACAGGCACTGGAATTAAATCCAAACGACAAGAACGCTTTGATAGCGCGGAGCAAATGTTATCTTTTACTGGGTGATCCGCAAAAGGCCTTGGACGACGCTGAAGCGGCTTTAAGACTGAATCCTAAGGATTCTAGCAAGTCCAAAGCGGTATACTGTAAGGCGGAAGCTCTCTATCATCTCGGCGACTTCGAAATGAGTTTGGTATATTATTACCGTGGGATGAGGATTCGTCCGGAATTCGGCGAATTTCGTCTTGGTGTCCAAAAAGCGAAAAATGCGATACAGAATGTGTTACGTAAGAATTAACAACAGTCGTTATATTTCTAACATATTGATCTTTAATTATTCTAATAATACATATATATGCGATAATATACTGCAATATGTAAAAAGAAATGTATGCATTATAAAATGAATTTTATGAAAGTCGATAATTTTAGTTTATTTAGTGATTTATCTGTTGGAACATTGTTAAAACTTTCAATGAAAAAGTAGATATTCAAGCAACTATATGTAAATTATGACCACAACACAGCTTGCATAATGCATAGTGTATAAGCGAATTAAACTAATCAGAATTTTTTCTTTTCTCCCATTTCATAGAAAAGAAGAATTTCGATTGATTGATTCTTTTATGCACTATGCATTATGCGTTATGCAAAAGTCTGTGCTGCGTTCATAACAACACATATTATATATTTACATATAGTTGTATCCATGAAATTCTATTAACGTTTTCGACCGATCGAGTTTGCACCAACTTGGGTTAGAAAATGCTCCAGCAAGAAAATTAGCATCGATGCCGTTGACTTAGAGAATCAGCCTCTCCACTTTTGCTCCACCAATTGACGCCGCTCTCTATTAGCTGAACGTAGGTTATTAGTGATATTTGTGTCCGTCTATCTTTGTTTTACATTTAATAAATACGAAGATAAAATGACAGAAGTAGCGCTAATAGCGTCTCCTTAAATACACCAACAGTAGCACGTAAAAAATCTCGACTGTAAAAATTTTTTTCTTAACCCAGTACACACACACACACACACACACACACACACACACACAAAGAGTGAATCTAATCTTTTTATTCTGCATTAAATCATATAGATAATCATTAGTTTTACCGCGCATAGATAAATAATATTGTGATATAATCATACGTGAATTTACCGACATGCTCTCATTTTGTGAGCATTTTCATTTCTGAAGTTGATACAGATGTCGTATCAGAATTTGTGTGTGCTTTTCTGATGTGTATATATATATATATATATATACGATTTATAGTATACTATATATATATGTGTGTGTGTGGTGTGTGTATGTGTATGTGTATGTGTGTGTGGTGTGTGGTGTGGTGTGTGTGTGTGTGTGGTGTGTGTGTGTGGTGTGTGTGTGTGTGTGTGTGGTGGGTGTGTGTGTGTGTGTGTGGCGTGTGTATTATATGCGTATATATATTTCTTATTACAGAAAATATCAAGATTTTCTGTTGCGGGATGATTGTTGATGCATCGAGAGCGTTTTTTTTTAAGATATAATGTACTTGTATGTACTTTGAACCTGCTGAGTGGAAACTATAGTTCGAAACGGCCGCAACAAAAACAATTGTGATTTACATCTCTAGCAGCCAGGCTCTTGATTTGTAATTGACGTCGACTGATCAGCGATACCGTTTTCGGTCACTTGGCCACGTATTAACGAAGACGTTAACATTCTACAGCTAGCATATTGACAAAAAGGCAGAAAAATGATTAATACAGGGTAAGTAATGTTTTGTAATTTCAAGTTTATTGTGTTCGTATATGATTCAGCAAGTTTTCATCCTCAACAACTGGCTATTACCAGACAGTAAATATAAATTTACGTATGTACATTATTTAATTGCCACGTGAACTTATTCTCATAATTTACGTAAATACATGATAATGTACACAACATGTTTAAATCTGTACTGTTTATAAATTATGCAGATTAAAATGTTCATTGCGTTTATTTTTTACTTAAGTCTAAAAATTTTTTACTTAATTCTAGTATTGTTGTTTTATTTGCATATTGAAAACAAAAATTTATTCAAAAATAAAATTTATGTTTGTAAATGTATCAATTAGTGGATATGATGTAATGTAAATGTATCAATTAGTAGATATGACCCAATTTACTAGACAAAGTGACATAAAATTTTAAATATTAAGTTTTTAATGGTATATATGACTCTGATTAAATTTATTGTTTATAAAAATTTAATAATAAATATATTTGGAATTGTACATATCATTAAAAGCATAATATTTAAAATGTTTTATCCTTTTATTCAACAATTGAGTCGTGTCTACTAACTGATACATTTATCTTATATGATAACATTATTATATTTATCTTATATGATTACATTAAATTACTATTTTACATTTTAAAACTTAGATATAATGAATTATTACAATATATTATTTGTAGAACAATAAAAATAAATATATAAATATAAATATAATATTTACAATCCTCATGATTTATAATTTGTTAAATGATAGTATTCAATAATACATTTGAATAAACAATAATGCTATTATAAATGTTGTGTCATTGAACAAGATAATATTACCAATATTTGACAGGAAGTTAGCCGGTCGCACTATTTTTATAACTGGAGCTTCGAGAGGTATTGGGAAAAGTATAGCTTTAAAAGCAGCGAAAGATGGTGCAAATGTTGTTATTGCGTCAAAACATGCTGGACAACCACAGCGATACATTTATAGGTATTGGTTTATAGATAAAAAAAATACTTACTGATTTTTATGAATAAAAAGTTCAATACAAAATTATTTTTATATTTGTGTTAAATATCAATATTAAAACTAATGTAATTATTACAAAAATAGAATATTTATATTTTATAGATGATATATGTTATATAGATTATAGTATAATCTTCTTTTATTTATATTTAATAATTAATTGTTTATAAATTTAAAAATTGACTATCTCTAAAATAATTTTTATATTTATGTTAAAATAATATCAACTAATAAAATGTTAGTTTTAATGCTGATATCTATAATACAAAAAGAAATATGATATCTAACACACATAGAAATAGGATTTTATAATATATTAGTCTAGTACAATTTTTTTTTATTCAATTTAATGAATCTTTTTTTAATTTAGGATTAAACGAAATTTAATAATTAAAAACGAAGTTAATTCCAACTAAGTCGATTAGATCCAACAGTCAAAAATTTTTGAAATTTAAAGATTTATGTAGAAAAAATATTTTTCAGTTGAAGCAGCCGGTGGTAAAGCTTTACCTTGTATTGTGGATGTACGCGATGAGAAACAGGTGATTGACGCGGTGGAAAATGCTGTTGCCAAGTTCGGTGGAATAGATGTTGTTGTGAATAATGCGAGCGCTATTTCTTTAACGGGTACTCTTGCAACTGAAATGAAAAGATACGATCTAATGAATAATATTAATGCCAGAGGAACTTTTCTCGTGTAGGTTGTTTTTTTCACATTGCTTACAGGTTTTTAATGTTCAATATTTAATTTAATATTAAAAATCTATCATAATCTATAACAATGATTGAAAAAAATTGATTGGAAAAATTGATTAATATTATCACGCATTCTCAAGTTCGCACTGCAAATTACCAAGAAATAAAATTGTATTGTAGATCGAGAGTTTGTATACCATATCTAAAGAAAAGTACAAATCCACATATAATTAATATAAGTCCGCCGTTAAATATGAAACCAATTTGGTTCCAAAATCATGTCGCATACACAATGGCTAAATATGGAATGTCTATGTGCGTTCTTGGAATGGCAGAAGAATTTAAGCCTGATGGCATTGCAGTTAATGCTGTTTGGCCTAAAACAGGTATATTGTCATATTTAAGTTTATAAGATATAATAAGGAAATAATTGCATTTATGATAACAAAATATTATAAATATACATATATTGCTAGTATTATTTTAAATAGAGAAATTAATGATAATAAGTAAAAATTTTGTTTACTTGAGTAACTTATAGATTGTATTTAGTAGTTTTGTCCGTGTATTGGATAATATTAAATAATTATGTAAAATTTATTTTTAATAAATTACATATTTTTAGCTATATATACTGCTGCAATGGACATGCTATTAAGCTCAGACTCAAGTAATGTTTCTCGAAAGCCTGAAATTATGGCTGATGCTGTTTATGCATTGCTTTGTAAAGATAGCAAATCCGTTACTGGTCAATTTCTAATTGACGAAGAAATATTAAAGAACGAGGGCATTACTGATTTTACAGACTACGCGTGTAATCCAGGTAATATTGGATTTTATTTATATTTTATAGATAAATAAAAATATTAATTATATTAACATTTATCTTGTAAAATTTATAGCAATTATAAATAAGTGAATTGTGTGATGACAATCAATTAACTTTTAAAGTTTTATATTAATAAATTTGTTTTCTAAATATAAAATCTTTAAAAATATGTTAGATATTATCAGTTGTTAAATAGTTTTTTAGCAATGAGCATTTGTAATTTTTTATTTAGCAAATAAGGACAATTTAATGCTGGACTTCTTTCTGGATGGTGCACAAACTAACGTTCATAATGCTGATAAAATGAATAATGAAGAAACTGGACAGTTGGCACATTTATTTAATGTTATCAATGCAAATTTAAGTAGCGAACTGGTTGACAAAACTGGTGCTATATATCAATTCAACATAAAAGGTAATTTCTTTTCGTTTATAGAAGAAAAAAAAGAGATTGTAAGAGAATATATATCTTTATATTTATATATACATTCATGTTTAGGAAAGGAATCTGGTGTATGGTTCCTTGATTTGAAAAATGGAAAAGGCGCTACTGGCAAGGGAGAACCGAGTCAGCCAGCAGATGCAACTCTTACGATGGATTCAGAAAATTTTTTTGCTATGTTTTCAGGTACGTGCAAATCTAATAACTTTTTCTTGAATTTATTTTTGCATCTGTTATCTGTATTATGTATATAAGAGACACGGTAATGTCTCGGCGCTAAGAACATAATATGTACACCTGTGCGTTAATGTTATTATTACATTACCTTATCTTAAATTTGCTTTTTGTCGACAGGCAAACTAAAACCAGTTTCTGCATTCATGACAGGTAAATTAAACATTAGTGGAAATATGCAGAAAGCAATGAAACTGGAAAAATTAATGATCAGTTTGAAATCTAAACTATGAATATAAAGATTAAAATACCATATATCCTGCAGTATATTTTTAATGTATTGTAATATATAACACATCAAATTCTCTTTAAAAAAAAAAACGAACATAAATATTTTATATGCACATTTTTATGTGCATCTTTTTTCTTCGTTGGAAAATAAAAAAATATATGTATAAATGATAATAACTAATGAATTAAAATTTACATTAATATCATAACTTTTAGTAGAATTGTTCAAGTCTATTTCTAGAAAATAAAACGTCTAAGAAAAATTTTGTATAATACATAAATAAGAATAATTTTTTATAAGTAATAATTCTACATATAGGTTAAAAAATATTTTGTATTCAAATGATATTCATATAAATATATAATTTATATATTGTTATCAGGAAGATTTGTACAATAAATAAAATAATTTTTATATATGTTGCAAAAAATATTAAAATTTGATAACTTATGAATTACTTTTCTATATAAGACATATTTTTATTTCATATCGACACATATTTTTATTTCAGCATTGGAAATATTATATGTGTAAGTACTTTTGCTTCTTCGTAGACTCCAAAGAAAATAAAGCCTCCTAATGTGATCCACATTATTCTTGGTCCAAAACCAGCGAATAATCTGTGATATTTAGTGAAATTTTTAAAAATTGTAGATTACACACGCAGCCATGAAGTATATTTAGTATCTTTAATTCTGACGAAAGTAACATTCTATTTGAGAGCATTATTCTCGTTTTTGCAACGTCTAATGGAGTGGTAACAGCTGCAGAAATGCCACCTAAAATTGCAAAGCGTACACATGTAGGTGCGAAAAAATAGATAAAAATCGTATTTATGCAAAATATAATTTATTTTCTTATTTCTATTTGGAGCGTATAAAATTAGTATAAAAACCTGCAATTGCACCACAAATTGCACTTTCCACAGGATATATTTCTCTTTCAATATAGAATCTGTAGGATTTTTTGAAATATTCCCATAACGGAAATTGTACAATACTAAATGGCATGTCTCGTAATACCGTACTCCAATATCCACGATATAGTAATTTGAAATCAAATGATTTTTTATCATATATTTGTGCCTGTCTCCTCTGTTTCATAACTTCCACTGGAACTCGTAATAAACATGCTACCTTTGTATACAGAATAATAATTAATATACAAACTAAATTTGTTCTTTATAGATAAATTAGTTAATTTAATAGCATTCAGTCTGTAAACAATTGAGCTTAGAAAACACTTTTGATTCCGAAATTGAAAAATCTTAAGCCATGTTAAATTTATGTAGAAAGCAATGTTTTTCTAATTATTACATAATTTAACATATAAAAGCATATAAAAGCAATGTTTTTCTAATTATTATAATTTAGCTATAAAAGAATTAAGAGAAAAACAATAATTAGAAAACATTGCTTTATAAATTTTTTTTATTTCAGAATCAAAATTCTTTAAGCTCAATTATTTAATGTAAATTGAATACTGTTAATTTGATTGATACCGTTCATTTGTCACAAACAAGATAATAATTATTAAAGTCTTACCATTTCTGATATCGCGGCTGCTCCCATGTGAAGTGGAGTATAATAATTCGTAGAAATTCTAGGTTTCAATATAGTTTTAATTTCTTCATATGTTAGAAAAAATAGCGCGGCTGAAATGTAAAATGTGTTAATGTACGAATATATATAATCCATAAATTTATTAATTCCTGAGTGTATTGAATATTTTTAGTATTATACCTGTTGGTGCTGAACCAACTATGACTGGACCGATGCCTTTATAAAGACCTGTGAAGCCTCCAGTTTTTAAAAATCCCTGTGCACTTTGTAGTCGTGTCTTCAATGTATCCAGTGGAAACAATGCGATATCTACAAATGTACCTGCAGTACCTCCTGCCTATTTAAACATAATTATATGTAAATGATAGCAGATAGATAATTCAATAACTTGAAAATGTCAAAAAATAATAATAATAAAAGGTAAATCAATAAAAACCGTACAAAAGAAAAGCAATGATTTTGACAATGTCAATGATCCTCTTTCAGATTTTATTTATTTTTTATTAAAAAATTATTAACAATTAAAATCAATTATTCTGATTTTTGGAACAATAGAACAATGTATATTTTTAAATAATATAAAAATATAAAAATATATTATAATTTACAAAAAGAGAAACAATTAAGTTAGAATTGTAATTAATGCACATGCATTAATTATTAGTTATTTATTATTAGTTATAATATTATAGCACTGATTCTCATTTATAATATATAAAAGTATATTTTCACTTTTTCCTTTTTTTTAACATTTCCTATTTTATTAACATTCGTTTAATCGTGATATAAAAGGCTATTTAATTAAAATTTCAATGAAAAAAGAAAGAGAAAAATCAATTGTAGCTTATCTTATCAATTATCAATAGACACGTGAAATCGATAATTGTACGAGCAAATCTAGTTAATTTTCCTCGTTTTACAATCACAATGTGTTCAACAATAATGTTTATGCCAATGTCATTCAGAAAAAAACATTATTTAAGAATTATAAAATACATGCCACACATGTGTGATACATATGTGTCAATACAAAACATAAACTATGCATAATAATTCACTTACAATAAGTGAAGTAGCGAAGACATTTCGCAAGTTCGTTCCTTTCTCCATTCCTTTGCTCGTTGTCATCTTGTCTTTAAGTGAATTACTTCAAAATAAAAATAATTTCTATACAATTCCCACTCGGCTCTCACATAACCTGTCATTTGACTCGATCGAGATAGACGTGTTGCGCAATGCCACAAATTATTGCGCAGCAGAAAGTTATTTTATTAAAAGACTTCGTCATAGTTTGTTCAACTTCGTTGTATTTTAATTGACGTGTGTGTATATATCTTAACATAAATAATGCTGATTCTACAATACTGAGATAAAAATCGGTAATCGATAGTCCTAAGTCTTACCTCCAGTTGCATCAACGTTAGTTTTAAGCGAAACTTAAAACTTTTCCTTTTTTTTTGAACGAGATAAAAAGAGTTTTAAGTTACGCTCAAAATCAAAGTAACGTTGGTGCAACTGGACCTTATCAATGAAGTTGACCAATAGCCAACTTATGTGATGACAGCGCTGATTGGCCAACTTCATCGATTAAGACTAAGACTTTCGACTACAAGCTCATAGAATCAGATAAGATAAATAAATATAAGATGTCAGAATCATGTCCAGGATTGGTTTACTTTTTTTTTAACTAAATTAAGTTAAAGTTAATCAAGTTAACTTTTTTTTTAACTAAATAAAGTTAAAGTTAACAGCTTTGAAATTTTAACTTAATTAAAATACAAGTTAATCCATAATAAAATTAATTGAATTAAAAATTAAGTTAATAAAAAAAGTAATTAAAAAGTTAAAAGTTAAATTTGGTTCGAATGAACAATCAAGAAAAAAAAAAGAAAAAGTTTGACTATTTTATATAATTTTTCATATTTTTCCTTTCTTACAGCTTATTTATTTAATTTAATTATTTTTGTTCAGTAACGATTATACAATACAATATAAAATTATTAAATTATATACTCTTATATACTTCTATATAATAAATTATATTATATATATATATATGTATATATATATACACATGATAATTATATATCACATAATAATTTATTTATTATGAGTATAATAAAAATTATAATATATACAGAATTTGTGATTCAAAATATTATGAGAAGAAACTTTTGTAAAAATTAAACAAAAAAGTTATTGTTTGTAAGCTTGTTAGTAATTTTTTAGATAATAAAAAAAATGACTAACTACAGATTACAAAATTATTACTTGTTTATGAGTGTTAATAATGTATTATAGTCATGGACAAGCAGTTGTTTAAATGTAGACTGTAATTGGTCATCTTTTTAACCCTTATTATCTAGAAAATTTCCGCTTAGAATAAAAATTACGAATAACTTTTTCACTTGTTTACCTTGAGAACTTTCTAGTGTTTTGAGTCGTGAACTTTGGGACAAGGTATAAAATTATATTTTTATTAATAACAAATTTTAGGGAAAAATTAATAAATCCACGTGGATACAACAAATATTTTTATTATGTTACACAATGTTGTAACTTCTAATTTTCTCGTCACTCAGACGACATTTGTGCTGGGTGAGAATCCATAATCTTATAATGAGAACACGATAATCAGGGTATACATAATTTTGGTTTCCACCACCAATTTCACGCATTTTTTTCTTCACACCCATGTTAAAAAATTTACCATTTATACGAAATTTGAGAGAGTTACTTTCTTACTTCATCTAAAGGATAATATTATATGTCAAGATTATTAATAACAGTCCTTATAATTGATTAAAAAGATTATATCGCCTATAAAAATTTATAATATTTTCGTCGTTTTTTTCTGCTTTCCAGAATTGTCGAGTTAAAATACTTTTTGCGGATATTAATAATTTCCATTATAATTTGTCTGCCTTATTAATTGTTATTATCTGTATAATTATGGCAAAAGATGATAAATTTAAATTAGACATTACGCTGTAATGTTCCAAATAAAAGTAACTAGATATTACTGTTAGATGAAATTATTAGTATTTCCATCTTTTTTCATAATATAATAATATATATTGACAATATATATATATTAGTTTCTTAATCATGACAAATTTAACGTATCTTAAAATAATATCGCCTTTCTTCCAGCTACAGATTCTTTGAATGCTAGAGTCAATGTTTTCTTAACAAAAATAATAAGACATGGAGACATAAAGGAATTAATCGTTAAAACTAAATAAAAATTGTATTGAATGTATAAGATTTTTAATTTTACTCTTCTATTTAATCTTTGCTACTAATGATCACTATATAGTGGTTTTTATTGTACGTTTATTGTGTACGAAAAGCCACTATAATGACCGGTATTTATAGTGGTTTCTTATATTTAAGATTGTCTTAAGTACAGTCTTAAGATGATAAAACCAATCACAGAACCGTATTAATGCCTCAAAATATTTAAGACGATCTTGTGTGATAAGAGCGAACTATGAATACCGGCCAGTGTCTTGTCGAAAAACCTTCAGAATCTACCAAAGTTTTAGTATCATAATTTTCGTTCGCATATTTCTTATAATTATTGAACTTACATACTATTATTTGTACAGATATGTTAACTTATAGAATATAGTAATTATGCCTTTTATAATTCTACATGTAGAAAAAAAGACAATATTCTTAAGAATAGAGCAGCGTATTGTTGCGTTACAATGATTGCTGTATGTCTTTCAGCTAGTTCTAACGTTGCGTAAAGATTAATGTGAAAAATTAAGACGTTAAAAAAAGGATAACTACCGAACTTGTTAAGATAAACTCAACTTGAAATTGATCCAAGTATCCATAGCTGCGAGACAAGGCTTAAAGAGAAATAATAAATAACATACATATATGTATGTAATCACATAAGTCCTCACATTGATATATTTTTTTTACTTTCCATGTATTTTTTGCCCTGGATTTTATACATATCTTATATGGTCACCGTTTAATCGTCTTAATATTCACACTTTACGTAACACTTATTTATCATCCTTTGTATTCTAAAATAATTGATTACATATTAAAAAAGCTTCCTGATAGAGTGTTCTACCTCGATCTGGTCACATCCCGTCGCTTTTAATCGGCAAACTTAAGATGTCCTAAGTTAGCTAAAGTAATTTCTTGTCCTCGACAGTTCGTCATAAATCACGCTACGTAATGCTTTACATAGTATGAATTATCAACGTCACGCAGTTCTATATAAAGTTACACTTGCGATATGTTGATTCGCCATAACTTCGACGATCGCGTCCCGTATGCCGTAACAAAACGTACAGCCGAATGGGTTAGTTGTGTTTGTCGAAGACGCTCGATTCAGAACTACTGGTCGCGCACTTGCTTTCAATTGCTCGCTCACTCTATCCCATTTTGTATAGGCAGTGATCTATGAAATTAAGATTCATTAGTATCATTAACACATTAAATATTTATATCAAATACATGAATAACTACTAAAAACCCTACTGTAACAGGAGATGGGGAAACATCAATCAATTTTCCCGATTCCGTGGAATTATTTTCAGGAGGCAGAGTCAGAGAAAATTCGCAGCGGTGATACATATTAAAGTTATAATGTCCTGGATAATTCGTGTGAAGTACGAATTTTTTTATACATTGAGTTTTAGCATTGAATAAGATATCCTGTAAAGAATTATATGATTATAAATGTGAAAAATGGAATCAATAGACAAAGAAAGAATGTATTTAAGAATGATATGGCCTACAATTTCATATAGAAGCATTGTACTGATTTGTCTACTAATTATTTAGCTGGATCTACTTATTGAGTAGTGCAGCGTAGCAAATTATTTTATGATTTCAATGTTAGTCCGGCTGTCCGTCTGTCCGTCCAATTGCCCGCCTGCAAGATTTCTTAAAAAAAATGGCTTAACTTTTTCAAATTCTGTTGTTGGTAACAGATACTCAAGGATTTTAGTTCCTTGATATGTAATCTGATGTTGACATGATATCAATGTAATTTTGAATTTATCAAAGGTTTTCTCTACCCTCGCAAAAAGGGATAAATTCAAAATTATATCGATGTCAAGCTTGTATTGATATGGAACGATACTTTGATATGCAAACTTAAGTAAAATTACTTTTTACACATTTTGTATTTTTGTTATAAAACTTTTTAATAAAGCATTTTAGGACCTAAATTTATATAACATTTTTTTTTTATTTCAATTCATAGAAAATACTATTAAAGTTTGTATAGAAAATCCGAGGAAAACCTATGCGTCTAATAAATATCTAGAATTTTTTTCTATAAATAGTTTGAAGAAAAAAGAAAGTATTTATATTGATTATCTCTTTTAGATATATCAATAATAAGTAATATCTTTAGTGTTAGTAATTTGTACTTTTTTGATTCAACTGTAAATAAGCTCGTGTCATATCCACATATGAAAAAAATGTACTTACCAAACCTAAAGTAAAATAATTATAGAAAAAGTCTGACCGCCTTGTTTTGTCTCGTTTGTGCGCGTGTGGACTATGAATACGCATCTTATCCTCAGCTTTGTAGAATACTCTAGATGGGGCACCAAGCGCACTCAAAACATCCTCACATGTATCACCGAACAATACCTGAAATCGTATTAAATTATAACATCAGAAACAAAAAATATGCATGCAAAAAACATGTTTGTTTTTTTTTGCTTCATATATTATGGGGAGAGCTTCGTGTATCAAAAAGGAGATAATAATTTTTCTTTTGAAGGAGCAATGCAATGGATCTTTTTGAAGATTTTTTTATGTTATTATACATTTTCAAATATGGAAAAAAATTTTGTTAAAAAATAATTTTATAGTTCATAAATAAATGTCGATACGGCCTCCTCACCGGAGTTGCGGGTTGGCGGGAGTTACAAGTGTCTTTTGTACTCGTTTGAAGCAAAAATATATAATTTATTTTTTTATATGAAATTATCTTGTCGATGAATCAAGATAATTTTTAGAAATGTATTTTCTTTTACTATACTTTGATTAAAGAAAATTTTTTTTCGATTTTTTTCGAATCGGTTATGGAGGCTCTCTCCATTTAAAGCAAGTTTGATTTTTTTCGCATATTGAAATTTATATTCAATGTGGAATAAATTTATTAAACAGAAATATTTAATTGTTGTGAATCACATGTTTGAGAGCTCTACTTTATAATTTCTATTTTAAATATTAAAAAATGCTATGATGTTATTTCTTAACAAAAAGTGTATTGATAAAGCGCAACCTCTTTGGTCAGACATCGCTTCTTCGGTTCTAGCAATGCTCTTGTTCCAGAACTACCTTCCGTGAAAAGATGTAATTTGAGTCCTCGAGTACGTGCTTTGTCTCGAATAATATCAGCTTTCTCCAAGTATAAGTTATTATGGTAACAAACCTGTGTAAGGATGAATGTTAAAGATACATTAAATGTTCAACATTTTAATTTATTTTTAAGTAATGGCAAAAAAATAGCCAAAGTTCACAAATATAATTACAAGTGGTAAAGGTGGCGGCGATGTCTTGGAACCATGTTCTTCGCCGCTACCACTGGCTAGAATATTTCCAACGTAAATTGCCGTTTTTGCAACCAAAGGAGAAGTTCCATTAGGAAACTGTAATGAGCCTAATCCGTGGGCGTAACCAGGATGGAATTTTGAATCGATCGGAAAATAAAATGATAGTCCTCGAAAATTCAATACAAACACCTGAAATTTATCATTACAGATATTATATATCACGCATATACCTTATAAATTTTAATTATTTTGAATAGTATGGTTTTGTATGTATGATAAATTAAATTTTACGAAGAGTCGCATACCTGCTTTTCACTATCATAAACACCCGGGTGAGTCGCACCAAATGAATGTTCTATCTGCTCGATCGAAGGTAACACTTCCGGCGAATTGAATGGCAAGCCGCAATATTTCAATTTTACTAACTTCATGTTATAAATCTCAATTATTTTAAGCCTTTGTACAACAGGATCGAATATAAGCCGAATGCCGTCGTGAGGTAAATTTATTACTAGATCTACGTCTAACGGATTCTGCGAACGTGCATAATGCTTTATGTAACATCTGATATGCTATTTAAATTTGACATACGATACAATAGGAGTATTACTTGTTTATGCATTCAAAAAATTTTAGTGCATTATGCGTATATGTATATGTAATAAGATTCATGCCAACACAGACGTTAAAGTATACTTACAGTATCGCTATAAAGTACTTGTACTCCTCTTATAACACCGACTTGAGACTGTATTATCGATACTGACTGAGAAAAGTGCATACCTGCAATGTAGTAAGCTTAATATTTGGACTTTAAAATAAGTTAATGCTTGCACGTTTTTCTTTGATATATCAAATAAAATTTATACAGAAAAACATTACAAAATAGAAATAAAAAAATTTATACAAAATTATAAGTCTGTTCTTTGTAGCTGAATTGATGTTTTCATATTTAAAATGAAACAGAATTTTATATACTTAAATATATACATTTTATATATAATTAAATATATATGTTTAAATTATATTGCTGTTTATATATCTAAAATTCAACAAAAGCAAGATAGAAAATTTTATTACAGCTACAGAAAATAAATCTTGAATAAAAGAATTTTGAAATTAAAAAATGAAAAGATAGCTACTTTCAAAAAATAGACAAAACATTTTTTAATTGCACAGAGGTTAATTGAAAAATTAATTTACATATGATTGGTTTTCACAAATAAAATAAATTGCAAATAAAAAAAAAATGCTTGATAATATAAGACCAAATAAGGATTGAGAAATCAAAACTCATATTTATTTTCAAAACAGATGATTGAGAAATGAATAAAAGTAAAAACAAAGAATGATAAATTAATATGAACGTTAAATAAATAAAAAACGTAAAAAATGTCTTTAAATGAGCCAACACAGAAAGCCAGTGTGTAAAAAATTATTATTCTTCTATACATAGTTCATTGAATAAGTTATTAGAATAAATATATTGTTGAATAAATCATTAAAATAATCTAACTTATATAAGATTGATTTTCACAAATAGAATAAATTGTAAATAAGTAAAGAAAATGGTCAATGAAGCTAGAGAGATATAGACTAGAAAAATAAAAACTATATTTATTCTTAAAACAGTTAATTAAGAAATGAATAAAAATGAGAATAAAAAATAATAAATTATTATAGTTTAAACACAGAAATTAAATTACTCATAATTTCTAGCCTCATTGACCATTTTCTTTACTTATTTACAATTTATTCTTTACACAAGATTGATTTTTCACAAATAGAACAATTGCAAATGAGAAAATGATCAATAATACAAGCCAAATAAAATTGAAAAAATGAAAACTATATTTTCTCTAAAAAAATGAAAATTATATTTTCTCAAAACAAATGCCTAAGAAACAAAGAAATGAGACTAAAGATTGATAAATTGATATGAATGTAGAATAAATTGCCTGTTCTTCTATCAAGATTTTGATTTAATATTTATTTTGTTTTATTTTTGTAAATTGTATTTATAATTATTTAATTTTAAAAAATATAATATTATTTTAAAAAATCGTTATCCGCTGCCATTATAATAGAGAAAAAGGAAAAAAAAATGCTCATATTCGTTCTCGCTCGTCGAAGTTTCACAGTTAGATAACAAAGATAATAGTGGAGCAACGCATATAAGGAAACAAGGGACAAATCATGTGTTATGCGAGACAAAGTCGACGGATTGCAATCGCTTGTTCTCGACTCATATAAACTCGATTCGATCGAATGAAACTTAACGAGAGAGAAGAGGCTTAGTTTGCGTGTCGCAAATCATAACACACGCTCGTCAGTCGCGAGCGTTTGCGCTTGCGTTTCGTCACTTGCCCAAAATAAATTCCCATTGCTCGCATCCGAGGGACCTTTCAGGCACCACCTCGAGCTCCAGCATCCTGTCCCGTCCCGTCTAGCTAGCCACGTACGAAACAACGGAACAATGATGCGTCAAGGAGGAGAGCAGAATCGTCGATTATCATAAGAACTGCGCTGCTCCTTTGTCCGTCCGTTCGATTGTTAATCACCAGATAGCCATATTGCTGTCACATCCCACAACAACAAACCCCGCTCTCACTATTTTCGCAGCGCTGCTGCGACTTCTACCACCTCCTACGGTTGGCAAACTGTCATCGAACAGCTGATACACTGCCGCGGAGCATGAGGAATTTAGAAGAATGGGCCTTTCGCGGAAACGAATGTGATTATGGTTGCGTTCCATAGCTTAAGGTATCTTTTCATGTTGTTTTGCTCAATGGTTATTTAGGGCCACTTTCACCAAGTTCCGATTAAAGATGCGTTGCGAGTTATGCATGAAGCGCATGATGTATTGTTTTATCCTTCTTTATTATTTGATGAACGACATGGACAAATAATGCATCATGCGCTTCATGCGAAATTCGGAATGCACCCTAATTTAACAGGCCTAGTAACTTTACAGGATTCCAACTGAAGCTGATGTCAGAGAAAAAAATGCAAAGAGAGCAGTTATAAATATAGATTTGTAATACTAACTTATGTAGCAAAGTTTCTCTCTGGTAGCTGTGAAAGTGGCTCGTACAGCGTTAAATCAGGTTATGTGATCAAAATGGATGTTTGGCATTTATCAATTTTGACTACGTGTTCTATTCTGACGCTAAGAACAGCAGCACAAATTCTTGCATAAAGCAAGATAAGACTGAAAGCACTCAGTCTTGAATTTCGAAAAAGTAATACGATCAATTAGAATCATTTAAGTTTAGCGCGTTCGTGAAACGCGTTAATGTGATTGGTTGTATTACTTCTTCGAGATTCCGTTTCCCAAAATTTAGACTGTCATGGAATATAATGCATATAATGCAAAAATGATCCAATCAAAGTTCTTTGTTTTCTTTCCACTCAAAATAACAAACTCGAGGATTAATTTTCTTATAGCGTTTTCTCTTGGGATACACTGGATGCAGCCTCAAATTTACTAGGTATTGAACAATGAAATTATCAATATCCTAGTAAATTCGCTCATTTTTGTAATTTTCATCTCGTTTCAAGATACAGAATCGATTCCCTCATTTCAAGATACAGACTCGATCCTCAGGATTGCGTTCCAAAATTCAATTCTGTCAATTCCGAGTATTATTTTATCCTTGTTGGTCATTCAAGGGTACGATCAACGCGATGCTGCAAACGCTTCAAAGCCTAAATGTTGAATAAAGATAAAGGATACGGAGTTGACAGAGTCAAGTTTTGAAACGAACCCCAGGCTTCTGTCTGTTATGACGCTTCCATGGAAAGGCATCTCAAGGCGGTAAAAATCGCTTTAAAGCATTCGGTGTGAACGTTCTGAGAATCAAAGCTCGAAATCTCGCAAGGATCGATTGATACGGGAGGGACGATAGTCGGCTATATTCAGTGCGGTCTGCTGACGTTCCATTCAAAGATGGCGTTGATGAGTGCGCCATGTTTCTCGTGATGTTCGAGCGTTAGAGAAAAGTTTTTCAGAAAAGCGTGATCCGTATGAGCAAAATGGCTGATGATGACCCGTGGCTATTGAAGGAGGACGGTTGCTTGAACGTGGACACCGAGTGCAAGAGTATTATCTATCACGCCAATCTAAACGTTCTACTCATCACTACTGGCAGCGCACAAGTATACGTGTTCGATGTCAACTCCGGCGTGATCCTACAGAGGAGTTCTCTGTCTGGTGAGCGTGTGTGGCTTCCTCGTCGTGATCGATCCTCGCGGAACTCCGCCGGGTCGGCGCCGAGCATACTGTGCAATAACGCGTGTCAAGGTCGCGTATGTTTTCCCGGAATAAGACGACACTACTTCCTCGTCATTGAAATTTTCTTTCACAAAGTGCCTGAAAGCGACAGATTTTGTCTCTTCCCTGGAATCCGGAGAGTCAAGAAGATAATCTTATAGTTTGTTGCATTCTGGCCATGCTTTTCACACTTTCCTGGATTTTGTCTCTGTTCCTCTGTTCTGCAAAAATGAATTTGCATTTTGAATGTGGAAAGTAATACGGTGTGGCTTAAAGAAATGGATCTATGACTGTCAGCATTGTGCATTATTCCAAATATATTCTTTGTTGTTATCTTTTAAGAACTAATTCTATTAATTTCACAAATTGCTTTGGCACTTGTACTGATCCAATCATCAAAGATAAAGTTTTTTTATGAACGGTATCTTTATTGTGATTGCAAAGCATTCTTTTACAAGTTCAAGAAATAAGAACGAAGAATGTTTATATGTTTTTCAAAATCAAGATTTTTGTAAGATCTTTTCATAATTTTCCAAGATCATGTTGAGGAAATACCAATATATTAGTATCTATTAATATTATATGAAATATATATTATTTAGTAAAATGTACTTAAAATATATATTATGCGGATATTCGAACAATTTTATAAGATTATGTAATGGCAATTGGAAAATATTTAAATATTTAATATTAGTGTTTTTCGCAGTCATTAAAATAAAAGTAATCAATTTACATTTTTGTATTAATGTTTTTTATAAATTTATATTACATTAATTCGTATATTGTTAAAATATGTATTATTGAAAATAAAAGTGAAAAATATTAATAGTGAAAATATTAATAGTGAAATGTGTGAAGAATTATAAAATGTTTATGTTTATAATGACGATTGTAGGTAAACCTAATGGGAAATTGCAAGGAATTTATTTATCAGATGGAATAGACAAAGTGCTGTATACAGATGGACGAGGGATTGGCATACGTAGCGATTACAATGGGGTCCTGCTATTAGATACAATTTTGCAAACCCCAGTTTCTAAAAGCGAGGATGTCATAAAGCTGGAACTATTACTGTCGGAGGCGACGATATTGCTTCAATGCCTACAATGTGTAGAATTGCCAGGTGTGGAACATATGCTGGAGGTGCTGCGAGAACTGTCAAGAAAAATTACTACAGCACAAGCAAATCAGAAAAAGGGTATTAAAGCTCAAAAAGTAAGTATAGTTTGTAAAGTTAATTATTTTATGTATAAAATGTTAAATGTATAACATTTTTTGTTATAGTTATTTTAGATTATAGATGAATATAAAAGTGAAAATGTAAAAGTAAATAAATTATTTTAAAGTTGAAGTACATGTTCTAGTATACTTGTTAGATGTTTATTTATTTAGTGCATTTAGTAAAAATAAAAAGTTAATATATTTTTTAATAACTTAATTTTTATATTATAATATAGAGAACTGTTATTTTTACTCAATTAATTTTGAGTAAGTTTTATTTAAGGAGATAATCATAGAACTGATTAATAGAGATTTTTAATATTGAACAATTTAAATTTGATAGTTAATGTGATTATCGGAATTAGTTAAAAATATAGTTTATTATATTGTGTTATATAAACAGAACAAAACATTTTATTATATAAATACATATAAGATTTTTAATATATCTTTGTGTTATGTATACAGAATTAATATCAATATATTAATGCTAAAATTATTAAAATTGAAAATGGAAATTTTAATTGCAGTGGAATACGATATGTTTGGAATTATCGCATGGATATTTAAAACTCGTCTGCTCTGGTTTAGTAATGGAATTAAAAAGGCAAAATCGGCATATAGCAGCACTGCCCATTGCCTCCGCGATCAATGAACGACTAAATGGCCTATTGCCTAGTCTTGCGTTAGAAGGTGGTCCCACTGATAGAGCATTAATGTTTAGTGAAGCAGCACGTCGTAATACTTTTCCAAAATGGCCACATATGAATTACAAGTACGTAACATATTACGTATTTTATTATTATGTAGATTGTGACATAGTTACTTTTATTTTACAACTTTTTTATATTCTATATTTTTGTTAAAATGAATGCAATTAATGACTTATTACACACAAAATTATATTATAATATAATAAATATTTTAGATGGGCTTTACCTGATCAAATGGCCCAGGCTGGTTTCTATCATGAGCCAAATGCTACAGGAGATGACAGAGCGATGTGTTTTACTTGTAACGTATGCTTAGTATGTTGGGAGCCTACTGACGAGCCATGGTCGGAGCATGAGAGGCATTCGCCCGCATGTCCATTCGTTAAGGGTGAATACACACAGAATGTTCCATTATCCGTGACTCTTGCAACAGCTCCCGCTCGTGAGGCAGGCGATACGGTGGACGTCATAGGTACTACTAATGTCACAGGCCTCGCGGCTACAGCCTCTTCCAATGGTTTTGTAAATATTTGGAATATAACGAATCAATTGAAGGTAAGCTATTCGAGGTTTTTATATTATCAATGCTATCAAAATCTGAGAATATCTTTTTTACAATTTTGGTCAGAAGTATTAGGCACTTATATTTTTTTTTTTATTTATCTGGAATTCTGGCTTTTAGCTGAACTACTTCACATTTTCTGTATTTAAAATGAAATAGGTACATGTTTGAAATTTTTAGCGACAGTGAAAAGAAAATTGTTATAATATAGAAATAGAAAATAAATCTCTGGAATTCTTTTACCAATATTATTTATTGATTATTGGCATAATAAGGTAATAAGTTAATAAGTTTAAATTATCTTTTGTTTTTAAAACAAAAGATAATTTATAGTAAGTAATCATAAATCGATTTTTTAGCTAAAATGTTAAATAATGATTAATAAGATGCTTAATACTTTTAACCATATATAAGGCTGTATATTCATAAATTATTTATTTTAAAAATTAAGCTTGATATTCTTTAGATGTATGTTATCTTTTTTACTTTAATTAAAAGTAATATAATTTTATCTTTATTTAAAGTAATATAATTACTGTCATTTTGCAGAGAGAAGTATCATTTTATATATCACCTTTGGATCAAGAAATAAACAATAAGGAATCGATACAATTTTGTGCTGCGAGAAATTTGACGCCTCCGTATTTAACAAATCTAGGCTCAGACTCGGATCCACTTTCGGAATACAAGCCTTCGTCGTTCTATAAAGTACAAGTTACAGCACTTTCAGTAGTGGGATCTCCAGTAACCCTGAGAGAGGAAGCGAAAAGCACCAACTCCTCGTCGTCTATAAACATTGAGACGACAGAGCATAAGATTCGACCGTGCTTAGTGTGTGGGGTTACAGTGACAGTTAACAATCCCTCGCAATTAAGAACTTTAGAGAATGTGTGGGCTGCCTCGAGCGATCTAGCGAGTTCATCGTCGTTAGTTCGTGCAATGAACAGTGTAAATAGTGCTGCCAGTGATACTCTAGATATAATGAAGGTAGCGGGTGATAGGTACATATCGTCGAGGTTGCATTACTTAGTATTGTATGACTTTCATCATAAGGCTGCAACGGCGCAACCTATCAAGGAAGATAATTCTAAAGAATCAAAGACTAAGAAGACCCTATCTGGAACAGGAACTAGCGCTAGCTCGAATGGCGGACGCCAGGAAAGCTTGTACCAGGAGCTCTTCCTTAGTAAAATTTTTTATGAAGTGCCAGTTATCGAAGATGTAGACTCGGATATGGTAGTCGGTCCGCATTACGACGGTATCTTCCCACCCAACACTTTAACCGCCTCGTCCTCCAACGGCATTTATTCGAGTCCCATTGGTATTCCCTTTGGTCCGACCCCGACGACGTCAACTCCCTACGATCCCAATTTTCCTCCTATTAACGGTTCGACCCACTTTGCATCGACATCTGACTTGACAACGATAAACAAAAAGAGCTTAGATCTTATGAAGATTACCAAAGCAGAACCGGTAGTCATCAAAACGTTGGCGATAAACGCTCCAGACTCTCTCCGCATTACGTACATAATTACGTCTAAGGACGGAAGATACCTGTATGTCGCCATGTGTCCCGCTGATAACGCTTCCGTCGAATCTTCTTCGTCAAATACCAATCAGATGGATGTTGATGACGAAAGCGATTTCTTCCCGCAGAAAAGTTATATGTACTGGGACCATAATGATAGTCAATCGAGCAAATTGATAAACGGCGAGATCCACAGTAACGAGAGCAACGCGAACGCCCTGTTGCTTGTATATGCTTTGGATTTCACGGGCTCGGTAGTAAAAGTAGCGTCGGAACCGCTGGTGAAGCGAGAGTTATCTTTGGAACAGGCGCCAATAGAACATGTATTACTTCCACTTCAAGAAAAACAAAAGTGCACGTCATTTTCTACTAATTCTAGTACCAATTCCACTAATAATTCAGTTATTCAGGAACCTACTGGACAAGTTGCTCTTGTATGTAAAGACGGTGTGGTCAGATTATTAAACTTAAGTACGCTGAAGACTGTAATGGAAGCGAGATTAGATGGAAAGAAATTTATTTCTGCGACTTATTGCAACAGTAAGTGTTTCTCTAAAAACGTTTTCAAAGGAAAAACAAACGGAAGTGAATGGGAGATTAATTTGGAATATTTGTGAGGATTGTGTTGAGAATTTATGTGTTAAGGCCGGTGGTTTTTTCAGGTTTGGAAAGGCTGTGTGTGTGCACGAGCGATGGCACATTGCATTTTTTCATTACAGCGGAGGAGGAGGACTCTACAGAGGAGAAAGACGATGTTGATGATGTGAATATGGGTAGTGAAGGAAGTTGTACTTGTGAAAATATAGCTCCTAGTACATCAACTTCATCGATTTGTTAGTAAGTTTTCATTTTGAATTTGCAGCAGCCGAAATATTTTAACACTAGAACTGTCGAAGGTGCCAATTTGATAATTTCTTATCCTTGTTTTTGATTAGGAAGGAGTTATTTTATTATTATTTGAAGAAAAAGAAAAAAATGATTAGCGGAGCGATATCAAAATGACACCATTGACATAGTTCTAGTATTAATAGCTTTATAATATGTTTTATGACATTATTTATAAAACAATGTAAAAGTATTCTTTTGATATTTATTTATTAACTTTTGAATATTTTCTATGTTTTAGCGACGAATTATTAGCACATAAATCGAATTTCTCATACTGGGACTTAGGGCTGTTGTACGAACTTACACGATTTAGTCGACATTCCCCTGCATATAGCGCGACCGTCCCTCCGTGTTGGAGTGAAATGATGCAAGCTCAGAGACAAAGACGTCATCCGCAGCATCTTCATCAATCAGAAGATCAGCATCATACGAGAACGTGGCGGTTACAAAGTGATGCGTAAGGAGACATAATTATAAATTTTAACAGATATGCTGACCATTTCAGAGAAACTGCATTCTTTTAATTGCGGATTCTCTTATTAATTATTAAAATATCTGTATATATTTTTTACATTATTTTTTAATATTTTTATATTTTTTAAATGATTTTTTAATTAATTTCTAATTATTCTTTTATTGTATTTATTCTTTTATATTTAGTAATATAAATGTTTTTAGTGTTATCTTACGCGTGATAAATAAAACTATCTATATTGAAATTTAAAGAATTGTAAATGAAATAGTACAATATATTTCTTGATAAGAAAAGATCGATGTAAAATTATACGCGAATCGATATAAAAGAATACGCGATTAAAAAAGGAAGATATGTTATAAAGTTGTAACATATTTGCATGTTATGTTAGGACTACTTGGGATGAACACGTATTCGAACTTACTTTACCTCGAAGCGCAGCAGGAAGTATAGGACACGTTGATGTCCGATTTACCTTGCATCCGTTCTATCAAGAGTTACCCAATATTCAAGTTACTTTGTTGAAGCAAAATATAAAGAGGATCGGTCATCAGAAGATACCAACTACCCCCATAGACGAGAGAATTGAATTTAACATAGGAACCGAACAAAAGAACGAAAATCCAGTTATCACAGAGGAGTATCAACGCCAGCATAATACGGAAATCCTTTGTGGTCCTATCGATTTACATCGTTGTGTAGATCTGTCTTGTCATATGGGATGTGTAACATTGACAAGCCCGAAATTGTTTCGCTCGAAAGCTAGGACATTGCTCGTTCACGTCAAAGCTTTAGTAGATCAAAAGGATGGAGTGAGTAATGTACTTGTCAATCTTTTATTATGTTCTGTATCTTTATAGTATCAGTGTTTTATTATAGTATTTTCTTTTCTTTCTCTACTTTCAAGACGTCTACGAAATCTAAAGCAAATTTAGGAGAAAGTAAACCACCAACTTGTAAAAAACTAAAGATATTTGAAGTACGTCCGCTTGTGCCCCCTAATGCTGGAGAACGATTTGATGAGGGGAATAGCAAGAAGTTGGGATGTTATGTTGGTAAATATAATCTGAGAATTTATTAATATAACGAACACATTATAAATTTATTATATATATATAAAATACTCTGTGTCACATAATTTTTCAAGAATATCTTTATGTTCTTTTTATACGTGCGACAATTTTACTGTCGTCAGATTTTCAATATAATTTATAAGAAAATGCTAATTGTTTTGCACTAAAAATTTTGTACATTAAAAACTATACACTTGTTTTTTATTTAAGGGTGCAATTGGATTTACGAGATCTCCATCACTGTGAGATCAGTAAATCCCACCAGCATGCCCGACGAAAGGATGCAAAGATGTGCTATGTTAGAATCCAAAACTTTTGTCGATAATCTTTTGAATGTCGCATGCTTGCAAGTACCTATCGAGTAAGTAACAAGAATAATAGAAATTTAACGATGTTTAAGCTTATAGAAAGTTAACACTCTAAACAAACGTTTGCAGCTCTCCCGTCGTACAATCTATAGCTCTTGACATTCTAATATGGGTAGCCTCAATAAGATTAACGAGGTTGCGCAGCGTTCAGAACAGCGCTGAAATTAAAGCTCTTCAATTGGAGACGATACGTTCTGTGCAAGGACGACTATCCAGCTTATTACGAACATGTCTCTTGCATGCTGGGAGAAGTATAGCGCACAAATGTGTTAAATTAATTATTCTTTGCAGCGGGTGAGCGATTATTTAAAATGATATTGATAACGTTAATTATGTGAAGATTTTATGGAAAAAATTATTATTCTTTTTAGGGGATTTTATAACATTGAGGATTCATCGGTTCAAACCTTTGATGAGGCCATGCTCTCTGTATTGGTCAATTTGTTACCGTCAATAATGGAAGTTCACTGGGCTGGTTCACTGAGATGGCTTCAATTACTCATTACTAGATTTTTACCATTAGATAAAAATTACAGTATTGCACATAAATGTGTCACCCTGGTGCAACAGATAGCCACTGAAGTATCTAATAGAGTGAATCCATACCATTTGCTGCTCGCGACAAGGTTTGTGTATTTCTTATCTTTTTTTTATGTCCTTGGATAAATCTTTAAGTACTAAGGGCAACTTTTACCAAATTCCGATTAACTTAACCAGTTTAGTGACTTTGCAGGATTTCAACTGAAGCTGATGTCGGAGAAAAATTGCGAACTGAAGAGTTAATACATTTACATTCGCATTGATAATTTTTCTCTTTGCATTTTTTCCCCGACATCTGTTCCAGTTGGAATCCTGCAAAGTTATTAGACTAGTTAAGTTAACCGGAGCTTGATAAAAGTCGCCCTAAATCGGTTAGTGATTAATTGTTTTGAGTATTAAAGGCATTAATAAGTGCTTTTAATACTTAAAATAAATAATGATTAATCAATTTTATATATACAATATTAAATTTTTAAAATAATTTTTATTTTTTTTTTAATCTTAACAAATAAATTTTTCTCCAGATTCGGTCTATATAACACGCCTTTTGAAACGGAGCTTTTCGACTTAGAGCCACCAATGTTACCAAAATTTAGTTCAATACCCGTGACGTATGCATCTGTTGTAACCAGTGAGCAAACAGGCCCTCCTGTTGCTTCGTCGAGTGCTATACACTCGTCCAAGATATCACAAGATTCTATTGATTTGAGGGACCTACTCACACTGCCTACACATCCCGCTAGTGAATTTGTAATATCCAGCAAGTTGAAGGCATTGTGCACCAATCAGAATATGAAAGGCCTCCTCGAGGTAATATTATTTAATTAATAAATAAGATGATTGTATATCGATTATTTTCTGTATTACTTATGATATTTGAACGTTGATTTAGGTTGAACCTCTTCATTTTACTTGTCACGCTGCCTCTGACGGTACGAAGATGGAAAAGATCGATCCTGGTATGAATACAATTAATATTGGACCCACTTTGTATGATAGTGCAGCGACAAGTAACAATGGTGTGCCTGATATTAAAACGATACATCACACATATGTAAGTATTCTGTGCATGCATTTAAATGTATTAAAAGTTTGTGTATCTTTTTTTAATGAAACGATATGTGACTTATTCTGTAACCATGTATAAGAGCGAACACATAAATTGAATCATTGCTTTGTTTAAAAAGTTCTACGATGTCAATGATGTGGTAATATTACAATTGTTTCATGCAAATGTGATATTAGACTACGGACAATATATATATATATATATATATATATATATATATATATATATATAAGCTCGAGCAGCTTGAGCACAATTGTAAATACCATCTATGAAATAGTGCGCCAAATTAATTCTCAGCATTCGTAGAGTAGGCAAGGCGAATTACATTTTTTCACAATTAACAGTGGCTGCAACGACTGTGTAATGACTGTTCAGTCATAAAATGGCATATACAATACAGATGTTAGAGTAGTTGAATTTTAATTCAGATAGAAATATTAATTGTAGAACTTGGATGCTGGATCGCTAGGACCACATGTTCAAGCTAAATCGACAGCTACATTAAGCGATCTGCTTAGTATGTATACGGGAAGAGTTTTAAAGAAGCCGTCTGCGCAACTATTGCTCACACCCGATGAACAATCGGATTATGATGAGGCTAATGAAATGTCTAGTGACAACCAGACTTGGCATAGCACACAAAATAATATGCCTAGTTCACACATATTAAGTTCCATTATAACAAAAGAAAAGTCATGCGTACAAAGTATCAATACTGCTGTAAACAAAGTTGAGGAGAGCAATTCTAAAAAGGTAGATTACATAGACAAAAACACACGCACCATTCTTATTTTTTCTTTCTTTTTTTTGTAAATTCCTATTTCTAAGTTCAGTGATACACTGTCCTTTCATCATTCAATCGCTTTGTTAATATGCTGATTGTAATAGAGACACTCGTTCGCTAAAAGTTTTCTATCTGTCAACTGCAGCTGAATGATGTTAAGTGCAAGTTGCATGAGTTACATGAAATTTATTATGAAATTTATTATGTAATTAATTATGTATTCGATGTTAATATTCCTGCATATATTATTTGTCGTACGCTCATGGGTTTTCTTCTCATTCCCTTTTTTTATTTTAAGTTAATATTATTCATAGCAGAGAACTAGCTATCAACTAGTTTTATTTAAAATTATTTAAACAATTTTCATATGTACGTGCAGCCGACACAGTTTGTTCTTTTTTTTTATACATTTGCTTTATTGTTTGATGTAATTACAGGGCTAGTTGTTATAATATACCGAATATAATCTCATTTTATTTTTTATGTGTGTTCTTGTTTTACGCGAAAATTGTGCGTAATGAGAGTTTGCAAACTTATCTTTCTGTACACATAAATCAACAGATCTACAAATGTGTATATTCAGAAAATTACAAAGTTGTGATTTAGTTATGTTTTAATTTATAACTCAATTGTTTGAAGTGTCCCATAATTAGCGACCTTAACATAATGACATATTCTATAATTAATGTGGATTTGATATTTATTAACGTTCTATATATATTGAAGTAATATGTGCTCGAAATTAATTACAAATATGTTTTGTTACTTATTTATAATCAATTTTAATTTGCAGTGAAATCTCTTATTTGCTTACAATTCGAAAATATTATAAAAACCCGACAAAAATTGTTATTAAAATTATAATCGCAAATCGTGGGACATTACGATGTAATTTTTTTTGTGTTTCAGTATGTATCCACAAAATACAATTGCCTATTTCACAGTAATAATCGCTGCAGTGAATGAAATAGCATTTCGCTTTCTTATATTTTTGTCACATTGCGTTTGAGAAGTGTGTAAATTTAAGAAATAATTATTTCACTAGCGATTAATAAATTATGTATGTTGCAGCGAGACGATATTACATTCCCGTGGGGAAGGTTGCTATGCTGGCCGCCTCAGCAAGCATTGGTCGTCGAACGGATGCATTCGGGAGCCCGTCGATTCGTTATTTTAGATTTCGGATCACCTGTATTGCTAACCGATTTGATGATACCTTCGTGTAATGATTTGGTATCGCTGTCCATAGATATTTGGACTAAGAGCGAAGAAATAGATGGCACGCGGCTTATCGTCGCAGGTGATATTGGAGGTAGACCGTTGATCGTCTGCGATCTTCAGCCGCCACCTGTGTGTAGATATCTCAAGGTATAAACTATATAATACATCAATAATAATAGATCTTTATTTTAGTTGTTTCTTTTCACCTATGATATTTAACCTCATTCTAATCATATTTGCTTTATCCTACAAGTATTATAATATTTAGTACTTCTAAAACATTATCTTACAGTTGCGATTTTGTATACAATACATTTTTTATTATTTATTTAATTTTTCTTTTTTATATATATCAATCCACTTGCCTTTCTTTTATGTTTTCACTTATAAAATATCGAATTTTGTAAATTTATAAATTAATTATTTACTCTGTAAATTAATTATTTACTTTATATGATTATTAGATCACTACAATAGGACGCTATGGAATGTCCACAACTACGTGTAAAATACCATTAGGAATGTTTTACGGACATATGGTAGTTTTGCCTGGGGAAGATTATTCGGAAACAAATGATGCTTCATCATTTGATGCCGATATTTTTGATTCTTCTTTACAAGCTACCATTGATACACAATGTAATATATTATCGGCTTTAGCAGAAGATGTACAATGCAGGTATTGCATATAAGATATAATAAAATAAATAATGATAAAATAAGTAATAAATAAATAAAATAATAAATAAATAAATAAATACGAGTATATGTGTGTTTTCTTTTAATATGTAGAAATATCTTTCTCTTATTTTTAGATTTAGTTTAGCTACTGAAAGACTAAAAACTTTGTTGGATCCATTATTGTGTTCGGAAACTCCTAATGTTATGCATATGCAAAATTATCTATGTTATAATAAGATACCTAATGAAAGTAAGGAACAACCATCAGCGAAAATAATGTCGACGTACCAAGTGAGTTATAATTATGAATTGTTATTTTCAGGATGTAATTCAAGTTCACTATTTTATATAATTTTAATGCATATTAACACATTGATCTGTCATATTGTTATAGGAATGCATTATGTTCCAACATCAATTAAATGTCGTACGGAGTGTCTGGCGACGTCTCGAGTGGTGGAGAGGTATGCGGAATGTGCCAACTACATCTTTCGCGAACGCACCCAGCGACAAATTACGAGTTCTTGAAGAGACTCTTCTTGACATTCTACTGTATATCGTGTACGAAATTGGTCCATTACCTAATGTATGTATATATTGCAAATCTTAAGTGCAAAATTATGATAAATCGCCAAAATGTTAAAAATTTAATATTAGATAAAAGCTTAAAAGCCACAGTCAATATTATGCTGCATTTTTTATGTATCTAATATTAGCACATGACATTTGGTTTCATTATTTTATACGTGACAAGGTCTGTATATGATGTAGCGTTTTTTAAATACAGGTATATCGACCAACATCATTATATGAAGTTTTCACTCCAACAATTTGTGAGAAATTTTTCCATTCAATATGCGTTGTAACGCCAGCCCCACGTTTGCAACTTCAAGCTGCTGCGCTCTTAGCTGGTATGGCAGGGCATCAACCATGGTGGGGCAACTTCTTATCTAATACCTTGATAAATCTTTACTCGTCGGCGTCTACACACATTTTCCCACAAGATAGGTGAGGCTTTATATTTATTTGAATTTATTTATATTTAAATATATTTTATCAAATATATTTATCTTTTATATTAAATCAATATAAAGGAAATGTTTATTGTACGTATTAAATGTTTTCGCGCATGACTTGTAAATATTATACATATAAATGTAAAAAGATATAAAAATTTAAAGAGAATTTAGAAATTTAAATTTTATTTTTAGAGTGTTTATTTTACTAACATTCCTTGGACGGAAGTCATTAATAGCCGGGGGAAATAAATCTTCAGTTATTGAAGCCATGGTTCGTACGTTGGGTAAATTATTGGCTCCTCTTACGAACGCGCCATCCAATTCTAATCGACTGGACATCACCTTAATAGGCTGGGTATTATTGTTTCTGTCAGTATGCTTAGACACCATCGCACCACCGCCTTGTTTCGAGGACAATCATGAGAAAACTAGAGAACAAGGTATTTAATATACGGCGTGTTATTTATGCACATTTAAAAAATATTTTTTTCGTGATTATTAACACACTTTAAAAATATACTAGAAAATTAATAAAAGAAAAACAATTCTATATACGTGTGAAAATATTTTAAAACAAACTAGTGCTTCAGAGCAATCTTAAAAAAATAAAATGTTCTTTTTTTATTGCAATTTTATAACAGAATAATATAACATTTTTATTTTGGAAGGTTTATTTTCCCGTTGGGAGTTTATTCAAGGAGAATCGGCCATGCAAAGGAGATATGTAAATGCTAACCGATCGTCAGCCTCTCGTAGTTACCGTAAAAGATTACAAAAGCGATTGTTGCATCATAAACAGCAACTTCATGAATTAGAACAAGCGAAAAAATCTGCAGCGTCTAAAGTATGTACATAATTTTAAGCGAGTAGTTTTTTATTTATAAAATAAATGTTAGATTAAAAAAAAATATATATATATATATTAGGTGTTGGAATTAATTCG